TAATACAAAAAAATGCACAGACTTACCACTGGTTTTGTTGGTTTGCTTTGACGTTTTGCTCTCTGGAAAAGAAACAATTCACCACATAAAAAACAAAAAACAAACCACACTGGTATTTAAAGTGCATTTAGGAAATGGCACATTTTGTAAGTGTAACAAGAGATTCTTGGTTCAATAATTTGTCCAAAATGTCCCATTTTTAAATTAATCTGTACAATCTTTCTGTGTGAGGGTTGGGTCACGACTGAGTGTCATAACAGTTTGAATCAAAGTCATTCATGAATGGAGGGGAAGTGGAACTGGAAATAAATGCTTTCACTGTATGCAGGCCCGGGCCAGGGTTCGGTGTCCAATGTTAATTCAATACACTAGTCATTGCTGTGTCAATACATTACCAAATATCCTGTGTATTGGTGCGAAGTTAGCATAAACAAATAGTAAGTGTGGAAACCCCCTAAAGAGAAAGTTACGCAACATTAATTATACGGGTTATAGAAAAATATGACTATATAATAAGATCTTTTTTGGTAATCTTATTATATAGTTCTCCATTGTGCAAACTTTCAGTTTAGGAAATATAGCTTTGATAATTTTTAAATATTTCGCAAAGAGTTGACTGAGATTTACTGGATTTAAATGCATGTTTTTGCGTTTAAAATGCATTAAATATAAAGCTCTGCGTCATTAATATTGTCATAATGCAATAGGGATGATATTTCAGAAAGCAGCATTTACTGTGTAATAAAAAACCAAAATCTTACCTGTAAATTAATATTCGTGCTAACTTTTGCATCATAATCCTCTGATAATCCCTCTCGCATGTACAAAGTGAAGAAGACTAGAACACAGGGAACCTTTAAAAACATTTTGCCCTTAATAATTTGGACTTGGTGCTGAAAAATAAGGAAATCGTCCAGTGGTCTCACGCTGACTGAAGCAAGCAGAGCACACGCCTAATTTTTACACTTTTTGCAGTGGGCAGTCCACCCCCTCTCTCGCGTCACGTAAACTGCGGCTTTGATATTGACATAAAAATACTCAGAAAGGAGCCAAACATCCGTGAGGTGTTGTGGAAGAAAAAATGCCAAAGAGAGTGAAGTTCATTTAGAAACCTGCACGACTTTTCACGGAAAAGGAGGAGGGAGGCCGCTTCCAGCATGCATTCATATATACTGGAAACTTTGGGGACTTAACGAGAACTTCAGGAAAACACCAAAACAGTCTCCCCTCCCCAGCGTCTCCGTAACAGCGCTCCTTAAAATAATCACAGTCGTATTTTCTTTCTAATTACTGCCAAATGTTGTCGTTTCACTCAAGCGACATTTCTCAAAGACCCATTATTTAAAAGAAAAAGGAAAAAAAAAGAAACAGTAATTTGGTCATTAGGTGCGTGGGAAGAATTTAGACTTTAATTGTTGCACGTGGCAATTGGAAGAATAAAACAAAGACTCCTGAATTTCAATGCGAATTTATTTTCTCACATGTTGGAGATAAGTATTCTTATATATTTATATGTACAACTTTTATTTATTCAAACTCACCATGCTATTTAATTTAATTACAGTAGTTACAGTCATCCAAGTATAAAGTAAATGTTTTGTTTGGGTGCTGTCCATGGTGCTGATTCCTAATTACATAACTTGATGATCAACAACACATTTTGTTATCTGTACCACAGTTAAATGTACACGAAGGCCCAGGTTAAGAGTGATAATGAAAACCCATCTACATCTACAATTTTATTCTTGCCTTCAGCTCAAGACAAAGTGCATTATTACTGTCTATAAATCATTTGTAAACACTGTGTGCTTTCAGAAAAGAAAACCACATTAAGTCTGATAAGACAGAAATATTCCACAGACATCCTGAAAACAGAGCCAGCTGTAGGTTATTCCCTTTTCACTCACTCCTTGTGCTTCGGTGTTGATGTCGTCCCGTGTCTAGAATCACCTCTTCAGCTTCAAAGACCTCCTGTCTTCTATTTTCCCACATTCAGCTGTGACTGGAGTGCATCTCTAAAATTTAGTGAAGCTTATCAGTAGTAACAAATCCAGTTTCACAGAACTCAGTTTCCCAGCAAACAGTGTTTATATGTGGTCAGGAACAGTCTGCAGAGCTTCCTCTGGGTTTCTGGTGATGTTGACATTCTGCAAAAATAAAAGCAACAAAAGAATCTTTCAAGACTAAAGTGGAAGTATCAGTGGATGAATCAGATCTAACTTTAGTACGAGTAGTATGTAATATTACCATTTATGAATCCAACTTTACAATGTCAATAAGATCAATGTAA